TTCCTGGCTTGACTGTTAAAAGCAGACGATTGGCTTTCCAGCGGGAGGGGCGGGACATGTGCAGACAACCGCCATCTTTGGCGTTACGGGTTTTCCCTATATAGTTGTATTAAGGATTGAGGAAGTGGCATGTCTCTATATAAATAGTCTCTGAGAATAGTCATGGCAGAGCAGCAGTGCTGGGGAGAGACGTAACGTAATGCGGTACAATACTGCGTTACTTCCTTAAAAACTACTTGCGTTACTTAGTTACTTTTTAGAAAAGTAATGCTTTACGTTACTTTTGCGTTACTTTATCCCACCTGGACAGGGCTTGTTTTTTATAACAAAAAAGTCATATTTTTGGGCAAATGTAAAGACCCTTTCACACTAAAAGTGACATAATAATCCTCAGGCTGAAGGAAATGCAGATTCACTCCTGTACAGTAGAGGTAGAGTACAGTACAGTAGAGTACAGTATAAGTAGAGTAGAGTACAGTAGAGTACAGTACAGTAGAGTAGAGTACAGTAGAGGTAGAGTACAGTACAGTAGAGTAGAGTAGAGTACAGTATAAGTAGAGTACAGTATAAGTAGAGTACAGTACAGTAGAGTACAGTAGAAGTAGAGTAGAGTACAGTAGAAGTAGAGTAGAGTACAGTAGAAGTAGAGTAGAGTACAGTGGAGCACAGTAGAGTACAGCCGAGTACAGTATAAGTAGAGTACAGTAGAGTGGAGTACAGTACAGTAGAGTAGAGTACAGTAGAGTACAGTAGAGTACAGTATAAGTAGAGTACAGTAGAGTGGAGTACAGTAGAGTAGAGTACAGTAGAGTAGAGTACAGTAGAGTACAGTAGAGTAGAGTACAGTACAGTAGAGTACAGTACAGTAGAGTAAAGTACAAGTAGAGTAAAGTACAAGTAGAGTACATTACAGTAGAATACAGTACAGTAGAGCACAGTAGAGTACAGTATAAGTAGAGTACAGTACAGTAGAATACAGTACAGTAGAGTACAGTACAAGTACAGTACAGTAGAGTACAGTCGAGTACAGTCGAGTACAGTAGAGTGCAGTATAAGTAGAGTACAGTAGAGTAGAGTACAGTCGAGTACGGTATAAGTAGAGTACAGTATAAGTAGAGTACAGTAGAGTAGAGTAGAGTAGAGTAGAGTAGAGTAGAGTATAAGTAGAGTACAGTAGAGTACAGTGGAGTAGAGTAGAGTACAGTAGAGTACAGTAGAGTACAGTACAGTAGAGTAGAGTACAGTATAAGTAGAGTACAGCACAGTAGAGTGGAGTGTAGTAGAGTACAGTAGAGTACAGTAGAGTAGAGTACAGTATAAGTAGAGTACAGTACAGTAGAATACAGTCGAGTACAGTATAAGTAGAGTACAGTAGAGTACAGTATAAGTAGAGTACAGTAGAGTACAATATAAGTAGAGTACAGTATAAGTAGAGGACAGTAGAGTACAGTATAAGTAGAGTACAGTATAAGTAGAGGACAGTAGAGGACAGTAGAGTACAGTATAAGTAGAGTACAGTAGAGGACAGTAGAGGACAGTAGAGTACAGTATAAGTAGAGGACAGTAGAGGACAGTAGAGTACAGTATAAGTAGAGGACAGTAGAGGACAGTATAAGTAGAGGACAGTAGAGGACAGTATAAGTAGAGGACAGTAGAGGACAGTAGAGGACAGTAGAGGACAGTAGAGGACAGTAGAGTACAGTAGAGGACAGTGGAGGACAGTAGAGTACAGTATAAGTAGAGGACAGTATAAGTAGAGGACAGTAGAGGACAGTATAAGTAGAGTACAGTATAAGTAGAGGACAGTAGAGGACAGTATAAGTAGAGGACCGTATAAGTAGAGGACAGTAGAGGACAGTAGAGTACAGTAGAGGTAGAGGACAGTAGAGGACAGTATAAGTAGAGTACAGTACAGTAGAATACAGTACAGTAGAGTACAGTAGAGTGCGGTGTAAGTAGAGTACAGTAGAGTACAGTATAAGTAGAGTACAGTAGAGTACAGAATAAGTAGAGTACAGTACAGTAGAATACAGTAGAGTACAGTAGAGTACAGTAGAGTGCGGTATAAGTAGAGCACAGTAGAGTACAGTATAAGTAGAGTACAGTAGAGGACAGTATAAGTAGAGTACAGTAGAGGACAGTATAAGTAGAGGACAGTAGAGTACAGTATAAGTAGAGGACAGTATAAGTAGAGTACAGTATAAGTAGAGGACAGTATAAGTAGAGGACAGTATAAGTAGAGGACAGTAGAGTACAGTATAAGTAGAGTACAGTATAAGTAGAGTACAGTAGAGGACAGTAGAGGACAGTATAAGTAGAGCACAGTATAAGTAGAGGACAGTAGAGGACAGTAGAGTACAGTATAAGTAGAGTACAGTATAAGTAGAGTACAGTATAAGTAGAGTACAGTATAAGTAGAGGACAGTATAAGTAGAGGACAGTAGAGGACAGTAGAGTACAGTATAAGTAGAGTACAGTATAAGTAGAGGACAGTATAAGTAGAGGACAGTAGAGTACAGTATAAGTAGAGTACAGTATAAGTAGAGGACAGTAGAGGACAGTATAAGTAGAGGACCGTATAAGTAGAGGACAGTAGAGTACAGTAGAGGTAGAGGACAGTAGAGGACAGTATAAGTAGAGGACAGTATAAGTAGAGTACAGTATAAGTAGAGTACAGTAGAGGACAGTAGAGGACAGTATAAGTAGAGCACAGTATAAGTAGAGGACAGTAGAGGACAGTAGAGTACAGTATAAGTAGAGTACAGTATAAGTAGAGTACAGTATAAGTAGAGTACAGTATAAGTAGAGGACAGTATAAGTAGAGGACAGTAGAGGACAGTAGAGTACAGTATAAGTAGAGTACAGTATAAGTAGAGGACAGTATAAGTAGAGGACAGTAGAGTACAGTATAAGTAGAGTACAGTATAAGTAGAGGACAGTAGAGGACAGTATAAGTAGAGGACCGTATAAGTAGAGGACAGTAGAGTACAGTAGAGGTAGAGGACAGTAGAGGACAGTATAAGTAGAGGACAGTATAAGTAGAGGACAGTAGAGGACAGTAGAGTACAGTATAAGTAGAGGACAGTAGAGTACAGTACAGTAGAGTACAGTATAAGTAGAGGACAGTAGAGGACAGTAGAGGACAGTAGAGTACAGTATTAGTAGAGGACAGTAGAGGACAGTAGAGGACAGTAGAGTGCAATATGAGTAGAGTACAGTAGAGTAGAGTACAGTAGAGTATAGTATAGTAGAGTACAGTATAAGTATAGTACAGTAGAGTACAGTACAGTAGAGTACAGTAGAGTATAGTATAGTAGAGTACAGTATAAGTATACTACAGTAGAGTACAGTCGGGTACAGTAGAGTATAGTACATTTTAAGTGGAGTGTACGTAGAGTACAGTATAAGTCGAGTACAGTATAGTACAGTATAAGTACAGTAGAGTACGGTAGGGTACAGTACAGTAGAGTACAGTGTAAGTAGAGTACAGTACAGTAGAATACAGTACAGTCGAGTACAGTCGAGTAGAGTACAGTATAGAACAGTATAGTACAGTAGAGTACAGTATAAGTAGGGGGCAGTAGAGTACAGTATAAGTAGAGGACAGTGTAAGTAGAGGACAGTAGAGGACAGTAGAGGACAGTATAAGTAGAGTGCAGTATAAGTAGAGGACAGTAGAGTACAGTATAAGTAGAGGACAGTATAAGTAGAGGACAGTAGAGGACAGTAGAGGACAGTAGAGTACAGTATAAGTAGAGGACAGTAGAGTACAGTAGAGTACAGTATAAGTAGAGTACAGTACAAGTAGAGGACAGTAGAGTGCAATGAGTAGAGTACAGTATGAGTAGAGTACAGTAGAGTAGAGTACAGTATAAGTATAGTACAGTAGAGTACAATCGGGTACAGTAGAGTAGAGTACAGTATAAGTGAAGTGTACGTAGAGAACAGTATAGGCCGAGTAAAGTATAGTACAGTATAAGTAGAGTGCAATAGAGTACAGGATAAGTACAGTAGAGTACGGTAGGGTACAGTACAGTGCAGCAGAGTACGGTATAAGTATAGTACAGTACAGTAGAATACAGTACAGTAGAGTACAGTATAAGTAGAGTACAGTACAGTAGAATACAGTACAGGTGAGTACAGCCGAGTACAGTCGAGTACAGTATAAGTAGAGTACAGTAGAGTCCAGTATAGTACAGTAGAGTACAGTATAGGTAGAGTACAGTAGAGTACAGTATAAGTAGAGTACAGTATAAGTAGAGGACAGTAGAGTACAGTATAAGTAGAGTACAGTATAAGTAGAGGACAGTAGAGGACAGTATAAGTAGAGTACAGTATAAGTAGAGTACAGTATAAGTAGAGGACAGTAGAGTACAGTAGAGTATAGTATAAGTAGAGGACAGTAGAGTACCGTAGAGTACAGTATAAGTAGAGTACAGTATAAGTAGAGGACAGTAGAGTGTAATATGAGTAGAGTACAGTATGAGTAGAGTACAGTAGAGTACAGTATAAGTATACTACAGTAGAGTACAGTCGGGTACAGCAGAGTAGAGTACAGTATAAGTGGAGTGTACGTAGAGTACAGTATAGGTCGAGTACAGTATAGTACAGTATAAGTAGAGTACAATAGAGTACAGTATAAGTACAGTAGAGTACGGTAGGGTACAGTACAGTGCAGTAAAGTACGGTATAAGTATAGTACAGTATAGTGCAGTACAGTAGAGTACAGTATAAGTATAGTGCAGTAGAGTACGGTAGAGTACAGTAGGGTACGGCAAAGTACGGTAGAGTACGGTAGGGTACAGTAAGGTACGGTAGAGTACAGTAGAGTACGGTAGGGTACAGTAGAGTACGGTAGAGTACGGTAGAGTACGGTAGGGTATGGTAGAGTACAGTAGAGTAGAGTGCGGTCGAGTACGGTGGAGTAGAGTACGGTAGAGTACGGTAGAGTACGGTAGAGTACGGTAGAGTAGAGTGGAGTACGGTAGAGTAGAGTGGAGTAGAGTACAGTAGAGGTAGAGTACAGTACAGTCGAGTACAGTCGAGTACAGTCGAGGTAGAGTACAGTCGAGGTAGAGTACAGTAGAGGTAGAGTACAGTAGAGGTAGAGTACAGTAGAGGTAGAGTACAGTAGAGGTAGAGTACAGTAGAAGTTGAGTACAGTACTGTACAGTAGAGGTAGAGTACAGTCGAGTACAGTAGAGTACAGTGAGGTAGAGTACAGTAGAGTACAGTACAGTAGAGTACAGTGAGGTAGAGTACAGTAGAGTACAGTGAGGTAGAGTACAGTGCAGTAGAGGTAGAGTACAGTCGAGCACAGTAGAGTACAGTGAGGTAGAGTACAGTAGTGTACAGTAGAGGTAGAGTACAGTAGAGTACATTCGAGTACAGTAGAGTACAGTGAGGTAGAGTACAGTAAAGTGAGATAGAGTACAGTACAGTAGAGTACAGTGAGGTAGAGTACAGTAAAGTGAGATAGAGTACAGTACAGTAGAGGTAAAGTACAGTAGTGTACAGAAGAGGTAAAGTACAGTAGTGTACAGTAGAGGTAAAGTACAGTCGAGTAGAGTAGAGTACAGTAGAGTACAGTAGAGTACAGTACAGTAGAGTACAGTAGAGTACAGTACAGTAGAGCACAGTACAGTAGAGTACAGTGAGGTAGAGTACAGTAGAGTACAGTAGAGTACAGTACAGTCGAGTACAGTGAGGTAGAGTACATTAGAGTACAGTACAGTAGAGTACAGTGAGGCAGAGTACAGTGAGGTAGAGTACAGTAGAGTACAGTAGAGTAGAGTACAGTAGAGTACAGTGAGGTAGAGTACAGTAGAGTACAGTACAGTAGAGTACAGTGAGGTAGAGTACAGTGAGGTAGAGTACAGTAGAGTACAGTAGAGTAGAGTACAGTAGAGTACAGTACAGTAGAGTACAGTGAGGTAGAGTACAGTGAGGTAGAGTACAGTAGAGTACAGTAGAGTACAGTACAGTCGAGTACAGTGAGGTAGAGTACATTAGAGTACAGTACAGTAGAGTACAGTGAGGCAGAGTACAGTGAGGTAGAGTACAGTAGAGTACAGTAGAGTAGAGTACAGTAGAGTACAGTGAGGTAGAGTACAGTAGAGTACAGTACAGTAGAGTACAGTGAGGTAGAGTACAGTAGAGTACAGTAGAGTACAGTAGATACATTAGAGTAGAGTACAGTGAGGTATAGTACAGCCGAGTACAGTACAGTAGAGTACAGTAGAGTAGAGTACAGTAGAGTACAGTGAGGTAGAGTACAGTAGAGTACAGTACAGTAGAGTACAGTGAGGTAGAGTACAGTAGAGTACAGTAGAGTACAGTAGATACATTAGAGTAGAGTACAGTGAGGTATAGTACAGCCGAGTACAGTACAGTAGAGTACAGTAGAGTACAGTGAGGTATAGTACAGCCGAGTACAGTACAGTAGAGTACAGTAGAGTACAGTAGATACATTAGAGTAGAGTAGAGTAGAGGGCGCCGCTCAAACACCTTTCAGCTGCTGTTCTGGATAACAAAAGAAGAGGGTGCAGGAGAAACAAGTTTTAACACTTTCTTTACCAATAAAAACAAATAATAATAAGAAACATTTGGTTATTAACAGGCTTAATATGTCTAGTATGGCAGCTCGAGCACCTTAGAGCCTAAGCCTCTCGCCAAACACTGTCAATACATTTCTGTCTCAAAGTGGTCCTGACTGAACTACAATAACCATCATCTTCACACACACACACACACACACACACACACACACACGCCTCTGCACTTCGATTTGTCTCAACATGAGGACAGGAGAGCTGTCAGTCAATAAATGTGAAAAACAAAGTAACTTGCGTTATTTATTTGAAAAAGTAACTCAGATATTTTGTTGTAAATTTTAAAAGTAATGCGTTACTTTACTAGTTACTTGAAAAAAGTAATCTGATTACGTTAATCAAGTTACTTGTAATGAGTTCCACACAACACTGGTGATAAACACACATCTGTCTGTCTATCTCAGGTTCTGCTCACGATGGACGACGACCTCGACGCGGTTCAGAGAGACAAAATCTACGTCTTCTGATGGAGAGACATTATGGATTAGCCAATCACAGAGCAGCACCAATGAGAGGCCTCACTGCCTGAAAATCCTGCCAATCAGAGACTGTGTGAGAGGAGCCTCATACAGGAACTAATGCTGATAGGACAGTGAATGTGCCAGTCAAACTGCCAGAGCTCCTCCCCTCATGCTAACGCTTCAGACCTGCCCTGCGAATCTCAGCGCAGTTTCGTGTGTTTCTCTCGCGTGTGTGTCCGTCTGTGGCCTTCTGTGTGTGTGGACCGCGCAGGTCCGACTGTAAATCCGAGCCGAGCCGCTTCACTGATCTCATGATGATTCTGATTTGGAGAAAATCAACTTTGCACTGTCTGAAAAAATTACAGATCATGTTTTTACAATGACAAACGGAATGATTACTGAATAAAGACTTTTTACTGTTGTTTTCAGTCGTGTACATCTGTGTGCTGCAACAACACAACTCTTTTCATGTCGAAACTAATCAAAAATACACATTTGCTAGAGTTAAAGGTTTAGTTCACCCTGAAATGAAAATTATCATCACTTCACTTAAATTTGAGGTTCATATCTCAAGAAATGAGATGTTGTTCGGCTGCAGTACCAAACGCTTCCACTAGAGGAAACTCGTCTCACATTCATTTCCAGTGCACAAACAATACAAGTGTTTTTTTCCCCTGTGTTAAAAACTGGTAGGAAGTGGTCAGCAAAGAAATCTGTAGTAGAGGCAAAGGCTGCCCTTCAAATTGGGGATATCGTGGGACAGGTACAGCATGGAAGAGGGGGTTTTGGGTTCAGTTTAGCTCCTCCTAAATGGCACAAGGCAGGCCCAGCTCAAAGGAGGAAGCTGGTAGTCAACGAGGTGCGAAAGCAGGAGGAGAGGATGAGGTGTATAAAGGCCATTTCCCAGGCCAAGCAGGGAGAGTGGATGAGATGGGAGAGTGTGGAACAACGTAAGATGGGCTGGCAAGACCTTTGGTCAATGGAAGAGTAGGATCAGTTTCCTTATCAGGTCAACATATGATGTTCTCTCATCACCGCAGAAGTCAAGTCAAGTCATCTTCATTTTTATAGCGCTTTTAACAATGGAGATTGTTTCAAAGCAGCTTTACAGAGATAAACATACAATTTACGGTAACAGAGATTGTATTGGCTTTATAGCGATTTTTGAATAATGTTATTTCCAGCTAAAGTTGGTTTTGATTGATTCACTTCCAGCAAAATGATCATTTGTTATTACATTAGGGGCCACTAAGACGACGCCGTTCTCTCTAAACAGACTTTAAACGCGAACCTGTGACCTGATGGCGTTCACATGCGCATTAAAAATTGATTCTATAGTTAAATTCGTTTGAATATGTGTGCGCAGGTTTGTAATTTCCCAACAAACCATGCCTAAACAAACTACTTGTCTTGCCTATACATTAGATAAAGAATTTTGTTTTATTTTATCACTTCGGGGTACGCGAACCGGATTTTCAACAACGCTTTATCTGTAGAGTGGGAAAGGGATCCTCCATAGGGAGAGGATAGTTGACACTTCAGCACTGCATTGTCATCGGGTCCAGGCGAATCTCCTTCGTCAGATCTGGATACGGCCTGGATCCGGCAGGCTGCGGGAAAACCTTGGGATAAACAAAGACACTAATATTAGCGTAGATGCCATTCTTCTTATGATGTAACGAGTACATCAGGATTTAAGGGAAGTGTTCCCAGTTCCGGCTGACCTAATCTATGCAGCCTAACATTGAATTATAGAAGTCTATAATGTATTATGTGTATGCTAGGTCAAAGAGATGTGTTTTTAGTCTAGCTTTGAACTGACAGAGTGTGTCTGCTTCCCGGACAATGGTAGGAAGAATGTTCCAAAGTTTTGGTGCTAAATAGGAAAAGGATCTCCCGCCTGCAGTCGATTTAGATATTCTAGGTATTATCAACTGGCCGGAGTTTTGAGATCGCAATAGACGTGAAGGACTATAATGCTTTAAGAGCTCGCTCAAGCACTGGGAGCTAAACCATTTAGTGCTTTGTAAGTAATCAACAATATTTTAAAATTTATACGATGTTTAATAGGCAGCCAATGCAGTGTTGACAGAACCGGGCTAATATGGTCATACTTCCTGGTTCTAATAAGAACTCGAGCGGCTGCGTTTTGAACTAGCTGTAGTTTGTTTATTAAGCGTGCAGGGCAACCACCCAGTAGAGCATTACAATAATCTAGCCTTGAGGTCATGAACGCATGAACTAATCGTTCTGCATTTGTTAATGAGAGCATATGGCGTAATTTAGATATGTTTTTAAGATGGAAAAATGCGGTTTTACAGATACTAGACATGTGACTTTCAAATGAGAGATTGGTATCAAAGAGCACACACACACACACACACACACACACACACACACACACACACACACACACACACACACACACACACACACACACACACCCAGGTTCCTAACCGACGACGAAGACTTAACAGAGCAGCCATCAAGTGTTAGACAGTATTCTAGGTTATTACGTGTGGAAGTTTTTTGTCCAATAATTAGAATCTCTGTTTTTTCAGAATTTAGTAGTAGGAAATTACTAGTCATCCAATTTTTTATATCGGCTATGCATTCCGTTAATTTTGTGAATGGGTAAGTTTCGTTAGGTTTTGAAGAAATATAGAGCTGAGTATCATCGGCATAACAGTGAAAACTAACTCCATGTTCCCTAATGATATCTCCTAATGGTAGCATGTACAGAGTGAACAGCAGCGGTCCTTGTACTGAGCCTTGTGGTACGCCATACTGAACTTGTGATCGATAAGACATCTCTTCATTTACTTCTACAAACTGATAACGGCCAGATAAGTATGATTTAAACCATGCTAGTGCAACTCCACTAATGCCAACATAATTTTCGAGTCTATTTTAAAGAATGTTGTGGCCAATAGTATCAAATGCAGCACTAAGATCGAGTAACACTAATAGAGAGATACAACCACGATCGGATGATAAGAGCAGATCATGTGTGACTCTGATGAGAGCTGTCTCAGTGCTATGGTACGGTCTGAATCCGGACTGAAAATCCTCGCAGATATCATCTCTTTCTAGAAAGGAGCACAGTTGTGAGGATACTGCTTTTTCTAATATCTTTGACAGAAAAGGCAAATTCGAGATCGGCCTGTAATTGACTAATTTTGTATGATCAAGTTGCGGTTTTTTAACAAGCGGTTTTATCATAGCCAGCTTAAAGGTTTTTGGTACGTATCCTAGAGACAAAGATGAATTAATGATATTAAGAAGAGGATATATGACCTCTGGAAACATCTCTTTCAGTAGCTTAGTCGGTATAGGATCTAACATACAAGTTGTTGATTTAGATGAATTAACAAGTTTAGAAAATTCTTCCTCTCCTATGGCAACAAATGAATCAAATTTTTCCTCAGGGAGACTACAATGCACTCCCTGATGCAATACTGTGGTAGACGGTTGCATAGTTATAATTTTGTCCCTAATATTATCAATCTTATAAGTGAAGAAGTTCATAAAGTCATTACTGCTGTGTTGCTTGGACACTTCTGAGCTTGAAGCTTTATTTCTCGTTAGTTTAGCTACTGTTTCAAATAAATACCTAGGATTATGTTTATTTTCTTCTAATAGGGTTGAAAAATAAGCAGATCTAGCAGCTTTTAAAGCCTCTCTGTAAGCAATCGAGCTCTCCTTCCATGAAATCCGAAATACCTCTAGTTCAGTTTTCTTCCAGTTGCGCTCCATTTTTCTGGCTGCTCTCTTAAGGGCCTGGGTGTGCTCGTTGTACCACGGAGTTGGACTATTTTCTTTAATCTTCTTTAAGCGCAATGGAGCAACTGCGTCTAAAGTGCTGGAAAAGAGAGAGTTAAAAGTTTCTGTTGCAATATCGAGTTCTTCTAAGCTATCTGGGATGCTGAGATGATGAAACTGATTAGGAAGATTATTGATAAAGCAATCTTTAGTGGCAGAAGTTATAGATCTAACGTATTTATAACACGGAGTCGGCTATGCAGCCTTGGCTAAATGTAATTTACATGAGACTAGATTCAGAACCTAAACCTCTGGGTAGGAGAGGATCCCTCTTGTCCTTTGTGTTCATCACCTGCCACATTAAGGCACATTTTGACAGGATGTAAGGTCGCTTTTATCCAAGGTCGGTTTACTTGGCACCATGACCAAGTATTGCGATGTTTGGCTTTAGCATTGGAAGGCAAGCGTAGTATGACCAATATAAGTTGCCGCCTGTTCTAGCAAAACATTACACGCAGAAGACAATATTCCTCCGCCCAGGCGAGCAACCACCAAGAAAAGGTGTTAACACCAATTCTCGCCCAGGACAACTGGAAGCTGTTAGGGACTGGAAGATGCTGGCTGATCTTGATCAACGGCTTATTTTTCCACCTGAGATTGCCACCACTAACCTACGACCAGATATTGTTTTGTGGTCCGGATCAGCACGCATTGTTCAACTGATAGAGTTAACCCTTTAGGCGCCAGAGGTTTTTTCCTAAAACGTTCGATTTTGACATCTTAATTTCAAAAGGCTATATCTTAAAAGTGATAAAAGATAGAGACTTTCTGTAAATTAGAGAAATATTAAGGATGACCCAAAGTTTATGTAGGGATTACATTTTTCCATCTAATTTGCATATTATGACATCATATGGTGGCGGCAATCTTGGATTATAGAATTTTCATGAAAAGTCACATGTTTTAATGATAAAATGCAGCACTTCTTTCCCCCCAAAATGTCCAGCACCTTCTGTATGTTATATTGCACAATACTGAATGCTCAGGTATATAGTAAGTAGTAAACAAACTGTGTAAATTATTACTAATAAATGGTAGAAACAAACCGAATGCATGTAGTCGTTGCCTTTTGCTGTAGAGATTTTCCATTTACTAAATACAGTAGACACTCTGATTCCATGTATGGAGCACATATATATTATTCATATGACATACAAACACAAGTAGACAAGACCTGTTTAGTTCAAACGCTCACTCGCACAGATCATGAGTGAGATGATACGAGCAGCGCGGCCAGATCTGCCTCACGCACGCGCCGAGTGTGCACAGCTCGGACTACTGTCATTGTCATTGCGACTCCCCACCCTGCCTCCACGTTGTCTCCTAACTGTCCTATGAATACTTCGACCTCGTCTAACATACCCAGTGGTATTAGACAAAGTCTCCACCACAATACTGTCGCCGCGATTGCGGAGAGGATCTGATAACATGGCTCACTCTCACACTAGCTCCGCTTTTGATCGCACTGATTCAATGCGCTCTAACTCGAACATTTTATATAGAAACATGACGTTTTTTTTATTCGGGGATGAAGTATGACATGTCTCCCATCCAGTGGAGGGGAGGTCGAACGAAATTTGACACCCAATTTGACAAAATCGGCCGT